CCCCAAAACCCCAAAACCCCAAAACCCCTCTTGCATTAAATTATGAAAATTTAAAGTGGAATATAATAAAAAGGTAGATTAATATATTTTTATTTCTAAAAAGAAAATGACAACTACTTAATCTTCAAAGACTTTCTCACTAGTTAAATATGATACACCAATTCTGGTCAGCAAAGCCTTTGGCAAGAGTAAGGCAGGAGCTAACTCTAATGCCTCTTCTGCTGCCACCTCAGCTTCTTCAAATAGATCCAAGGATGCTACTAGTACCATGAGGACAGAGGATTATTTGAACTCAATTTTACCTCCAAGAGAATATCAAGATGGTGGTTAATTATGGGTATAATACGTATCACCAACACCTGCTACAAGGATCGATGTCATTAACCTTCAAGATGAGTTAGATAAAAAGCTCCAGGAACGCTAGGCTCGAGAGACTGGTATTTGTCCTATAAGAGAAGAACTATATTCATAGGCTTTCGATGAATTAATCAGATAAGTTACGATTAATTGTGCAGAACGTGGATTTTTACTCGTCAGAGTAAGAGATGAAATAAAGATGACTATTCAGGCATACTAGACTCTCTACGAATCCTCAGTTGCCTATGGTATGAGAAAAGCATTATAAGCCGAATAACGAAAATCAGAAATGCTAATCAAAATAAACTAATTGAATGATAATTGCGATGAATTAGAGTAAGAAGTTGACGATTTAAAAAGAAGAATACAGTAACTGTTGAAATAGGAGAAAAAGGAGAAGGAGCTAGGAGAAAAGAGGCATTAAGACGATATGAAATCGATTAATGATGATAATCAGCTATTAAAGAATCAGTTAAAAGCTATGCTCACTAATGTTACCCATTGAATAGCACTTCATTAAAACAACAATGAACAATTTATAAGACTCTTAATGAGTATATTTTTATATTATCTGTTAAATTTACCTAATTCATTCAAGATCTAGTATCTTGGGGTTTTGGGGTTTTGGGGTTTTGGGGTTTTGGGG